ATGCAAGTGCAGATGGCATCCAGGGAAGACTAGAGGACATCCAGGAAAGACCACTGAACAGCAGGAGAGACTGCATTAGGTATAGATGGTTAGTCATCCTACACACCCACTTCCCAAGCAGAAGAACCCTAGAGGCTGGGTGAAAATTGGGCCTACTAGGACTGACCAAATGGCTACAAACAAAATGGACAATGACAAAGAGAAATTCCTCCGGAACTGTTCTTGTGGGTGGCAGAGAGTGACATTGGTGAGAGGAAGGAAGGATGAAGTGTGGTAGGAAGCTTGACCAGTATATTCGCACTGCTTCAGCAAGTCAGATAAAAGCGACCCAAGGCCAAGCAGACACTATAGTGCAGCAGGTCCCAACAATGCTGGGAAGTCACCAGCAAAGCAAGCAGCCCTAGAGGTGGATTTCAGCGATTCCCTAGACCAACATACTAGCCACCCTTCAAACACACAACCAGCATAAACAACCACAATGGTGCAGCAAAATCAACTGACCATCCCATCAGAATGGCAACAGGCAGTTGGGGGTTTCATTCCCAAACTGTAGAAGGAAAGGTTTTCAAAATACACGCATCTACCTTCAGAAAGAGAGTTTGCCACCGAACACCTAGACAAAGATCAGGACTTCTGGAATAATGTACTCTGGACAGATGAATCCAAAGTTGAATTATTTGGACACAGTAACAGAAGACATGTTTGGCACAAACCAAACACAGCATCTAAGCACAAGAAGCTCATACCAACTGTGAAGGTGTGAAGGATGGCGGTGGAAATGTCATGGTTTGGGGCTACTTTGCTGCAGCAGGGTCTGGCAAGCTCTCCAATCCACTATAAATCCCTTATTGTATCAGAGGATACTTGAGGAAAATATGAGACCATCTGTCCAAAAACTGAAGCTGAAGTGGAGGTGAACCATGCAACATCACACTGACCCAAAACATTCCAGTAAATCAGAATGGCTCAAAAGAAAGAAAGTTCTGGATTGGCAAGTCAAAGCCTTGATCTTAAACCTATTAAAATGGGCTGTTCATGCAAAACCCTCAGGCATCGCACAGCTGAAAGAATTCTGCATGAAGCAGTGGGAAAAATTTTCACCCAGCCAATGTCAGAGACTGGTAGATGGTTATAAGAAATGTCTAATTGAGGTTAGTTCAGCCAAAGTGGGAAATACCAGCTATTAGGGCACAGGATGTCTTAACATCTTCCTTAGTAGCAATTGGCATCTGTTTCACTTTTTTATTAAATCAATCAATCAATCAACCATTATTTAAACTCGGAATACATCGAGGGAGACCCTCATTTACAATGTAGCCGAGTAATACAGGAATCAGGGATTGAGAGGTTGTGCAGTAAAAAAATAAATCAAATGCTATAATTAAGTAATAAAAAAAACATAAAAGTACAATTTAATAATAAGAAGGTACCAATAAACTGTTAAATCAATAAATGTTTAAAATTACAATATAACAACTTATCAAGTAACAGAGCAGATAAGGATAAAATAAATAAAAACATAAATTAATGAAATAAAAGAAATAGGTGTAAGACAATAAATTGGCAATAATAAAATACATTAAAAGAATAAAAAGAATGATACAAAGTAAAGAGATAAAAGTACAAAAGTAAAAAAGTAAAAGTAAAAAGTAAAAACAATAGCTAAGACATGGCTAAAACATACTAAAAGTCAAATTAATTGTCTTCCAGAATTTAGAGGCATTTATAGCTGAGTTTGTAAATATCTGGAGGTAGAATTCTGCTTTAGCTTTTCTGATGTAAGAAGTACAATGGTCTCTGTCACCATGTAGTCTAGCTAGGACCCATGCTTTATTTCTTGTATTGAGCAAGGAAGATATTTCTGAATTGAACCAGGGATTTAATCTATCTCTGATTCTCACGTTTTTATAGGGGGCATACTTATTTACCACTGACAGGAAAGTTTTGCAAAAATGGTCTAGCACTAAATCAATATCCAGGATCTCAAAAGTGTAGTGGATGTCGCTGAGCGCCAGATCATTTATAAAGGCTTGACCATTAAAATGTTTAAATTTCTTCTAACCACCATCTGAGAGCCTGACTTTTTTCAACTGGTGCTTCTACTGCATCCGATAGGGCAGTGGTCACTAAAACCAGGGTCAAAGACACCTATAGAAGTCAGTTTTTTCCGGTCTGTTGGATAAAATTAAGTCTATTAGTGTTGACTTGCTGGGATCATGGAAGTTAGGTCATGTTGGCTCTGTAATTAGTTGAGTTAGACATAGATTCCCACACACTTCCTTCAGGTGATCCGATGCATTATTTAACCAGTTTAAGTTTAAATCACCTAGGATTAGCATTTCTGAGATGATGTATGGATTTAAAAGCTCTGCTAAGTCATCAAGTGTGTGAGAGGATGCGGAAGGAGGTCTATAGATCCCAGCTACCACAAAACTGTTATTGTGTCCTATGCACACTTTTAGAATTTTTAGAATTCTGTCAAAACTAAAATATCAGGATCGTCTTGTGAAATCAAAATTTTCAAATTATCCAATTCACTGTGCTGACGAAGGCTTCAAAGTTTGAATTAATTATGCCCATGCCTTTTGTTGTAAGCATTTGTTTTGCGATCTGTGAGGTGTTTTGGGGATGGAGGGATGACATGGATGGCTTAATGCTGATAAGATTAGCTGGGTTAATAAAGTAGTTGTCTTTCTGCTTTATTCCCTTGTCTGAATGTCTAATCCTAGGTCGAGTGCTAATGACTACAGAGATAGCTGAATGATTATGTCCACATTTCTTAATAAAGCACTAACAATTTAATGGGGTGTCCTAATTTTTTCACATAACTGTATGGGTGATATCACTAGCATTCTGCAGACAGTTTCATGCTCAGCAAGGCTCCATGCCAACATGGGCAATGATGAAGATCAAGCCTTCAAAGTCATGTGGAGCCTTTCAGCTAGGAAAGGAGTGAGAAATGACAACATAGTGTTTGTCGCTGGAGGAGAGGCAACCTTCCACTTTGGAAGTGGAAGCCATCAGAAGGTTACACCGTAGAGAGGTCCTGGGAAGAAGGAAAAGTAGTCAGGCAAAACTGGGCTGGGGAGAACCAGTGCAGTTCTGGTCCAGAGCCACAAGGGAGCAGAAGAAGACTATGGTAATGGAGGAGGTCACACAGATGAAGAAGGAGCACTACCTTATCAAGGCAGCATCCCAGGGCCAGCAGGCAGCATGGATATGCTGGTAGGCTGTCACAAATAGGAGCATCAACTGGGCTAACATCTGTTGGACTCTGCAAGCACGGCTCAACTTCTTGATAAGGGCAACATCTGACACCCTGCGATGTTCCCAAAATGTTTCCCAATGGTCTGGTAGTGAGGACAAGTGCCCACTGTGCAGCAACAGCAATACAGGCCCCCACCACATCCTTTCAGGGCGCAAGTTTGCACTTGCACAGAGGTGCTTCAGGTGGCAGCATAACCAGATGTTGAGGAAGCTGGCAGAGCTGTTGGAGAAGGGTAGGATGGGGGGCAAACAACTTCTCAGTTCACCACAAATTTTTTTATGCATTTTTTCAAACCAGGAGAAAACAGACAGAAGACAGCATTAGTTAAGACAACGTCTCTGCTTGTTCCTGGAAAGGCATGGGAAATGCATGTCAACCTAGACAAGCAGAGATCACAAATCTTGCAGCCCTGTTAAGACAAGATGTTGTGAAGTCACAGCTGCCAAGAAGGTCCTTATTATTTAACTCATTATCCCTTGGGAGGAGGGGATACCAGCAGCACACGAGTTCAGGAGGCTCAAGTAGGCTGAACTAGCATCACAGTGCAATGAGGCTGGATGAACTGCAACCAGCCTCTTAGTGGAAGTTTGATGCAGGGGCTTGGTGGGCAAGTCAGCAGTCCTTCTCCACACTGCTAGTGGGACCGTAGCAAGCCTACAAACTAAAACCTGCAGATTCAGTGTCCACTGGTGGAGATGTGGCAGGCAAAGAAGCCAAGCAGGAAGAACATCTTCTGTACAACATTTTGAAGCTATGCAGCTGTTACAAATACTACAGTTATTCAGGCATTTAACTGAAATGACACATGCTTTATTAAAATTGAAAGACTAAAAACATAATTGACTGATACAAAACCTGGATGTAGAAATAAAGCTGCAGATGCCTTCTGTCTTCCAAGTTTATTCCAAGCTTCACAGTGATACCACCCTCTGTAATCAGCAGTGAGGCTGGTGATGCTGTAATTCTGTTCAGATCCTACAGGTGAAGTTCCACCTTCTTTAAACCAGGTGTAGTTCTTCACAGGTGGGTTTGCATCACTGCTGCAGGTCAGAGTCACTGAACTGCCCTCCACTATTTCACCAGAGGAGCTGATGGACACTGAAACACTCTTTGGGGGATCTGCAACAGATAAGAAGTATGAAAGAAAAATATATACACCGATCAGGCATAACATTATGAGAAGCTCCTTGTTTCTATGCTCATTGTCCATTTTATCAGCTCCACTTACTATACAGGTGCACTTTGTAGTTCTACAGTTACAGACTGTAGTCCATGTGTTTCTCTGAACACTTTGTTAGCCCCCTTTTACCCTGTTCTTCAGTGGTCAAGACCCCCATGGACCCTCACAGAGCAGGTACTATTTGGGTGGTGGATCATTCTCAGCACTGCAGTAACACTGATGTGGTGGTGGTGTGTTAGTGTGTGTTGTGCTGGTCTGAGTGGATCAGACACAGCAGTGCAAGGTAGGAGTGTCTAATAGAGTGGACAGTGCTGCAGCTGGAGCTGATAAAATGGACAATGAGTGTAAAAACAAGGAGGTGGTCATAATGTTACGCTTCATTGGTATATATATATATATACACATATATATATATATATATATATATATATATATATATATATACATATATATATATATATATAATAGCGTAAATCAGCCCATCAGTGTGCCCTTTAAATTGTGTGCCCTTTAAATTGGAGCACATTTCAGCCAGAGTTTGCAATTAAGCATTTAACCTAGAGTTCCAAATTGAGAACTGGGATTCAGATGCCCTGTTTTCGCTGGTCAGACCCAGTGTTCCAGTGTCCCAGTGTTCCATTATGTCTGCTGAACCAGTTACTACCAGACATCCTGCAGCTGACAATAGACCTTTGTAAAGGAGAATTGCTACAAAATACAGATTACACAACTGGAACAAGTAAACATGCACTTACACAAAACATCCAGAGTTAGAGCTGCAGAGTATTGCTCTCCATGTTCATTAATGCACTTGCACTTGTATTCTCCACTGTCCACAGAGCTGGCATTGGTAATTGTGTAGTTCTTTTCTTTTACTACTAATGTTGTTCCTTTAAACCAGTGACATTCCACAGGTGGGTTTCCATCACTGCTGCAGGTCAGAGTCACTGAACTGCCCTGCACTACTTCACCAGAAGGGTGGATGGACACGGAGACGCTCTTTGGACGGTCTGCCATCAGAAAGGGGAAAAGTTAATTTAAAACAAGAGAGAAAAAAACATACTAGCAATTTAAAACTGGCCAGAATTGGCATCCAGCTTGGGGCTCCTGAGTGGTGCAACCATCTAAGTAGCGTCTAAGCAAACTCATCAGGAGTTTGCGAGTTTGATCCTTGGTGATGTTACAGCCATCCATGGCCAGGAGTCCAAAAGAGCACAATAGGCCTCACTCTCTCTGGGTGGGTAGGGTGGCCCCCCTATCTCTCCTATCACACACTGCGATGCTAGTCAGCGCAGGCGTCTGTTAGCTGATGTAACAGAAGTGGTAGTTGATGTTTTCCTCTAAGCACATTCAGCTCTGAGTGAAGTGGCAGTTTAAAAAGATGTGGCGGCATTTCACAGATCTCAGAGTAAGGCTGGTGATATTGTGTGACTGGGGGGGTCCTAACTAGTGGGTGGAATGGGATATGACCAAAATTGGGGAGAAAATTGGGCATTATTGCCTAGATCCACAGCACCACTAAGGTTACACGACAACATGGTCCTTCCCTGTACAGCTAAGTGAGGGATCAAGTGTAGATCTTCACAGTTGGGTTTGCATCACTGCGGAAGGTCAGAGTCGCTAAACTGCCCTCCATTATTTCACCAGAGGAACAGATGCACACTGAAGTGTTTGAGAACTTTATTTGGTCATGCATTAAATTGTTCGTGGTTTCACTATATGAAATGTTTTCAAGTGTTGACCTCTACAACTCTACAACTGTTTTAACTCTTTGAGTGCACATGATAAATGGATATGATTTGAACAAGAATTCATATGAGTGCCTTTTTAAATGTGCAGCACTTCTTATGCAATGTCTTATGCAGCCATGAAATGAATGCTTTTTCACAGTAAAAAGAATGGAAATTCCACCTGTTTTGGAAGTTCCTCAGTTTGAATATGTATTATCTTTAATAGCATTAATGAAACATGTTACAATGGAAATGTGTATAATTTCACCTCTTAAAATTCCAGGTCTATTACATACTAAGGCTTATTATTTATTAACTACAGGAACTGTAATGTAAACTAATGGAGCTATACTTAGGTTATAGAAGTATGTAATAAAACCCACTTCTAGTTAAAAAAAAAAAACTTTAAATGGTTTTTCGTGTCAGTAGATATTTGAGCAAGTCGCCATTTATAAAAAATGTTTTATTGTGTTTAAATGCTATTTTTGTGTGTCAGTTGTACCAGATGTATTGCTGTTCGTTTTGGAGAGGTGTGAATTGTTTTTCACAGGAGGGGTTGTCACCCCTCCCCTTTCATCTCGCATTGCTCGCAGAGTCACAACATTTCACACACAGACAGCCAACCATGCCCTAGTTAATCTGATAACAGACTTACAATAACAAATTTTATTTGACTCTAATAATTAAAAATAGACTAGTCTATTTCCATTTTGTGGAGTGGTTATTAGTGGCTTAGGGGGTCATCAAGTTTGGACAGAAAAAATATCAAGATGTTCAAAAGGTATTATCCTGTCTAAAGTAGGCTGATGGGAAAAGCTGAGGCCAGCAGAGAATCATGAACTGATGAGCGTCACTTTGTTGCCAAATTTAAGCACTCATCATTGAAAGGAGGTAAACTTTCATGGCAGCTGTTTAGTGACATGGAAAACATCAGGTCAACAAGCGTAACCATCATTCATCGAGCCTGTGGAGATGACCAGCAGCTGACTAGCACCATTGGGGTTATTTGAGATGTCACACACTGCATGTCATTAAGTGTTATAATAGTTATATAAAGCATGTATCTTAACATCTGTCCTAAAATGTGCTAAGTAGAATACACTACAACTCTGCTTAAGCTGGACCTACAATACACAATTTTTTTTCCTGATTTTAACTCTGACTTGCCCCTTGCAACAAATGTTCACAGTCTGAAATGATTTTCCAGGTCGGGAGCTCAATCAGAAATGGCTGGTGGCGTGGATGATCTATTAGAGAAATGAGTGAATCTTTAGCCTCTGATCGAACTCTGAAGTGATCAGTGTGCACTTGTGCTACACATAAAAGGACAAACAGGTCCATTCTGGGAAGTTTAGCTCTGTTTGTGTCGTGTGATATTTGAGGAGATTTGGTAGTTTGAGTTTTTTTTATTTTTAGCCCAAACTTGTCACGTTTGTTATACTACCTCTTTGCCCGCTCGTCTACTGTGAGTGCCCTCATGAAAAAAGACAAGACATTCTGTGACAAACGGACATTAAGTTTGTGATGCTGTCTGTTTTAGAAATCTGTTCAGATTTTAAAAGTCATGTAGTGGATGCCCAGCCTGTGACAAACTGCAACAACTTCAAAAATTATACCATCTGTCATGGAAATTGGGTAATGGCACTGATATTTTACTTTTACTACTTGACATAAACTGTCATGACAACTCAAGACAGCAAATAACATTTGCTAAGACATGTTTAAGCCAACATTATGTCAGTCTTAGTAAGGTTCAGTTTAAAAAAAGTTCCCCAGTACTGCTTGCACATTAATGATCTTTGGCACCTCATGGTAAGTTCATTTAAAGTCTATGATTAGATGAAGAAAGTAAGAAAGTGAGAATGTGTCCTCCTCATTAAGGACAAAAAAAAGCACAAAAATACTCACATCTGACTCTGAGGTTGTGAGCAGTAGAGTGGAGATGCTGATATCCTCTTACAGCACAGCTATAACTGCCTGCATCCTGACTGCTGACTGTCTGCAGGTGGAGCTGGTTGTTCTTGATGGTCTTTGTGGTTAAAGGACGTCCATTTTTGTACCAGATGAATGTTGGTTCAGTCAGATTGCAGGTGGTTTTACATGTCAGATCTGCTGTTTCTCCCTCTCTCACTTCTTCAGGAGCTTCCACATGGAGGCACATGAGATTGGCTGTAGTTTCTTCTACCATTTTCCCAGGAATATTTACTTGGAGTTCTGGGAACAAGAAAAAGACTTCCTCTTAAAATTTTCTGCATGCTTCAAATTAAAAGCAAATCATATTTCCAACCAGTCTTACAACATGTTCTAGATTCTACTGAATGTTGCCACTTAACACTGAATCAGTGCTTGAGTGGATTTTAGCAAGACATTTGTCTGGGTTTTATTTAAAAAATGACTTCCTTTCAACTTAAATATGAAACTTTGTCTCCTTTAAACATAAAGTTCTCTGCATACCCACCATACTCCAAGTAAAACATCTAATAAAATACAAATCCAGTTCCAAAAATGTTAGGACAGTATATGAAATAAAATCAGTTAGCAGAAATTAATAAATTCTGTTTTAGCTGTACTAAATTGAAAACAGTACTAAAGAAAAAAGATTTTTTATTGTTCTTTTTATCATTAAATATATGCTAATTCCAAATATGATGCCTGCACAACATCCAAAGGAACTGGGAAAGAAGCATGTTCACCACTATGTTACATTTTTTTTTTCCATTAACAGTATTTAATAAATGTGTGGGGACTGAAAACACAAATGATACAGTTTTGAAGGCAGAATTTTTGTCATTCTTCAGTTACACAAGTCTTCAGCTGAGGCCTTCTTTGCAATATTTTTGCACTTTACAATATGCCACATGTATTCACTAGGACATAGGCAGGCCAGTCTAGCACCTGCATTCTCTAATTCTGCAGCGATGCTGTGGTAACACATGCAGAATGTTTCTTGGCATTGTCTGGGCATGGACGTTCCTTAAAAAGACGGCATCTAAAAGGCAGCATATGTTGCACCAAAATATGAATCTCCTGTGCTTTACAAATGTATTCAACCCTCTTAAAAATCATTGAATTTGTCTGGATTATACATGACACTTGTTTTTTGCTGTGTTATATTTTATTCCAAAAGATCCTAAATTAATTAATTAAAAATGGCAGTGTATATATATATATATATATATATATATATATATATATATATATATATATATATATAAAGAAAATATTCTGTGACAAAATGTACTAACTGAAAAGCTTTTTGCACATATATTCAACCCCATCTGCTTTGGAAGCTACTGGTTTACATAAATGACATATACTGCCCTAATTAGGATGCAATTGGCTTAACATTGTATTCTCATTATTGCAAACTATATTTCTTTTTTTAAAAAAGTTCACCTCCTCTGGTTAAAAGACCACCTTAATTCACCATTGGTTAGACTATGAATCTGAAAGAAGACTATAAAAAAATGAAGGGCAAAAAGCATTCTAAGTAAATTAGGGGATAAAGCTATACAAAATACACAAATTAGGCAAAGGCTACAAAATAATATCCAAGTGTTGGCTCTCCTAGTGAGTACTGTTGCATAAATTGTGAGGAAACGGAAGGTGCATACAATCCATGCACTGCCTTGACAAGGCTGTCCCTCAAGATTGATTGTTACAGCATGAAGGGGAGTGGTGAGGGAAAGCAGAGTGAGGCCAACAATCACTCTGAAAAAGCTACAGAGTTCAGAGGCTGAGAATGAATGTACAACAGGCAACAATGTCAATAGCTCTGCATACAACTGGCCTATAAAGAAGCCATTACTAAAGAAAAAGCACATCAAAGCACATTGTTTACCAAAAAGCATCAGATTGACCCAACCAAATTAAAATAAATAAATAATAAAAAAATCAGCTGAATCTGATGTCTTTGAAGGTTGGCTGAATATATATATATTTTTTTTTTTTCTGCTGAGGCCAGTGCAAGGGAAGAATGCCTGAGGCAGAGGCAAGCCAAGAGAAGAGGGCTGCATGCTAGGCTAAAGATTAGTGCTACCTCACTGCTTGCCAATGTCCACTCTTCTGAAAACAAGCTGGATAAACTCAGAGTCAGACTAACATCAGAGTGCGAAACAATGGACTGATGTGCTCTTATATTTATGGAGACTTGGTTATTGGGTAACATTCCAGACACAGCAGTCCAGCTCCAAACACACTCTCTATGAACACTGTCTATGAAGCAGACCACACAGCAGTGTGCAGGATCAACCAGTGAGGCGCATGGATATTCAAATTGTACACAAACAGTGTTCATCTGATGTTAAAGTTGTTAAATGCAACGTTAACGTTGTTGAAATGCAAACCAAGATAGTTCTCATCTGTTTCGAGTCTCACTACCTACATTTCATCACAAGCTAACTCTTAAGGCTAGTGTACACACATTGTGCAGTGTCCAATAATTGGAAATAATTGTTTTTAATGGAGGTATGCACTCCTGACACTGCCTCAAAGCAACGAGACAAGTCAACTGTGATGCTCAGTTCCTCTGCACATCACAGCGCTCAGCATTTTGCTGTTACAAAATGTTCTTCAAGGGTTCTTTAGTAAAGACAGTGGTTTTATATAGAACCATGGATACTCAAAGAACCATTTGCATGCAAGCTTGTCAAACTTGTAACAATAGAAGAACCTTACCCAAAAAGGTTCTGTACAGAACCATATACAACACGTTCTCTATCAATCTGAAGAAGTATTTTACCATGCAAAGAATACTTTAGTCATGCAAATGGTTCTTTGAATGTTCTTGGTTCTATATATAATCTTTGTCTTTACTAAAAAAAACCCTTGAAAAATGAACTTTTTTTAAGAGTGTGGCCTTTTCCACCTTGTACATTTCAGCTGCAAAACTGGCAGTTTGTGAAGAGGTAATAAAATTGATGCCAAGTGTGATTAATGATGTTGAAAATTTTAGTTCATAAATCTATACCAGTAAAGTCTAAAAATGAACTTGAACAAATAATGGCACCCCATTCCAGCAACTCTCTGAAACATGAGATGCTATATGGAACAGAGCAGCTTGATGCATCTGCTACGTGGTGGCCTTTAGTCACGCTTCCTGGTTCTCAGTCAGACACTTGTACCATCAAGAACTCCATTTCCCAGAATCCCTCTTTCAATCATGGGACTTCTTCAACCAATCACAAACCACCCAGCAGATCACAGACACCGGAATTCTAATCACCACCACCCATTGAACTCAGTACATATACTAATCTGTTTGGTTCATGTCTTTGTGAAGTATTGCCATTGTCTCGTCAGTGCATACCAAGTCGTTTATTTTCCTGATTGCTGTTCCATGTTCAACCTTGCTTTGTTTTCTCCCATTACCGATTCTCACTCCTGTTTTTGGCTTTGTTGTTTTGTGTATGATTCTTCTATGGTTACAACCCTTGTCTGTTTTTTCGACTCCGCTTTCGCCTACTCCTATGTATTGTATCAGGCTATTCTGGATATTGACTAGGTCTGGTGTTAAGCCTGTTCATCTCCATAGTAGTCAATGCAATTTAAGGACAGTTCAACTCAAACTTTACCAATTTATGAAATCTAACTCAAGAGAGAATGTGCATTGCCCTGGTAAGAGTGGATCAGATACAGAAGTGTTACTCGAGTCTTCCTCAGACAACTGGGATGTTTTCACCACAACTTGCAGGTAGAGCCTTCTGTTCTGAAGCTGTGGAGTTGCCATACCAGACTGTGATGCAGCTGGTGAAGATGCTCATCACTGCAGACCTGCAGAGGAAGTTTCAGAGGACCTAGTTTGGGAGGTTGACTCTCCTCAGCCACCTGAAAAAATGAAGGCATTGTTGGGTGTTTTTTGATGAGGTGTAATGTGTTGACTAACCCAGTGAGGTCCTCAGCTGTATATACTCTAAGGAATTTAAAGCAGTTCACTTTTTCCACCATTGTCCCTTTAATGTTCAGAGGTGTGTGCACTCTGCTCCACTTCCTGAAATTAACAATCAGCTACTTGGCTTTGCTTACATTGATGGAGAGACTGTTCTTGGTTTACCACTCTGTAAGAAGTTTCACCTCCACTCTCTACTCCTCCACGTTATTATTAATGAGGTCCACTACTGTTGTATTGTCAGCAAATTTCATAATGGTGTTGGAGTTGTGCTTAGCAATGCAGTCATGGGTATACAGGGTGTAGATCATGGGTGTTAAGACACAGCTTTGTGGACAGCCTGTGCTGAGAGTGAGAGTGGGAGAAGTGTGGTCAACCATTCTAACAGTCTGAGGCCTGCCCATGAGGAAATCCAGAATCCACCTGCAGATTGTGTGACTTACTCCTAGGGTCTTGGGCATGGAGACCAGTTTAGAGGGAATAATTGTGTAAAATGCTGAACTGAAATCACTGAACCAGCATTGTTATGTATGTGTTCTTGTTCTCCAGAGGGATGCAACATGCATTACCAGGGATATTGTGTCTTCAGGCGGGCTGTTCACATGGTAAGCAAATTGAGTTCCGGGATGCAATTCTTAACACGAGTCAGGACTAAGGAAATACTGTGGTTGACTCCAAGTCTCCAGGGTGAACACTGGGTAGCGCAGTGGAGTCCTGGTGGAGGCTAAGTGTTTTGCACTGGTTTCCAAAATCCAGTAAAGTCTGTCAATTGTCGACAAGGTGTAGTTTGCTCATGTTGGGCTCACAGCAAAAATAGATAAAATACACAAGTAAATAACAGAAAATTGCTCATTAGTAGGAGAGGTAGCCCAGCTGCTGATATCTCTGGTGCTGCTGGAAATGTAAAGAGACTGGAGCACACATGGGAAGGGATCTGAGACCAATTTCTCCATACAGAATCTCTCCAGGTCCTGCAGATTCCAAGGTCCATGTTTATGGACTCTCCTTTTCAGCTTATCCTACAGGTTTTCTGAGGGGTTTATGTCAGGGACAAAGTAGATGTTGATACAAAAGAAATGCAGAGGACAACTTTCATGCAGTCAGCAAGGAAAACACGTGTTTCCTGTACAACTTCCTCTTTGCCGCTTGCAGTATGAAACAAACCATTAGATGGCAATAAAGTTTCAATTACAAATCCAGCACACATAGTGATGGATGACTAAGGCTGCGTCCAAAGCTGTATACTACCATACTATGTCAAAAATAATACACCACCAATAGAAGTACATCTCGTTTTGCTCATGTTTACCAGGTTGCTTCATTATTTGTAGAGGGCACTGTTGTCAACAATTAATGCAAAGTGTTGCCATCCTAAACAACTGTTCTGAAAGCAGAGTCAAAATATTTCTCAAGAACCTAAGAGGGAAACGTGGAAAGCATTTTCTGCTGTCCTCTGAAATATAATTGGCGAGTGCATTGATCTGGCCCAATTGGAGCTCAGAGTTGCTCTGTGTTCCATCCCATAACAATGCTGTCATTACAGTATTAACAACAGTGGCCTGACCAGAAAGTTAGTCTAAAAAATAGGGCAGAATTAGATTTAAAGTGCCCCTGAGGTTTGAATTTATGTAAAATAATAGCTTTGTTCTTGTAAGTTATTTTATCTACCTTATTTCATTTACAGTATTCGAGTTAAATCTGAGAAAATTGCTTAGTATCTCATGCAATTTTTTTAGGTTTAACTGATGACCTAAAAAACAGTGTATTGACCTATACAGACATATGCAATGTTTGATGTTTGTTTATATATATATATATATATATATATTAACTGTTGATTTACTAAGTGAAAACATACTTTAGTGTGGTATATATTGGGAAAAAATTTGCACAGGCTGCATTTTTCCAATTGTGTATTAAACTGTGCAGAAGTATGGCTGTCAGTTATCAGAGAGCAGTAGAAGAGCCCCGACACTGGAGACATTTAAAATCCAGACTGAAAACGTTCCTATTTGAGCAGCTTCCCGCTCAGTTTAAAACACTCGTTAGCTTTTATAGCCTCTTTTCCTCTGTAACAGCACTTTATCATCCTAACTTAATTTTTGATCAGATTTTTAATTTAATGTTTAATTTCTTCTGTTTGTCAGGGCCAACACCATGTTGTATTGCTGCCAGAGGGACACAGGGAATAGCCAACCAGTGTCAGGAGGCACTGCAAGACCAGATTCTCAAAATTTCTGCATAATTAAATGGTTAACAAGTAAGTCATTCAGAGTGGTTTGAAGTATAAAGCTTACAGAGAAAATTACAGAGTCAGAATTGTCTTTAGTGGTGCTGAGAGCTTAATTACTCTTAACACACAAAGTGATTACACAAAATGGTTATGGATATGCTGCCTGGTGGCTGAGACATTATTTCATGATAGTTTTGTGATAAAATTATGGCCTAAAATGTCTTGTTAATTGATTTATTTTAATTTATTCATTGTGAAGGGGTACATGAAGGGGGTTGTTAAGCAAAATAGTCCCCCCCCAAAACTTATTTTTTGGACAGTAAATAAAGCGACTATATTTGTGTTGTAGACATTGTCACCCCTGGTTTTTATGACCAGAAAAGAAATCTGAGTCTGTAACTTTCTCTACAACAGTTTTAGATCAAACCACACTAAATAACTTTATTTCCATCACAATGATGGATTTATGCAAACATTTTGGAATTCCTCTTCAAGGAGAGCTCTCCCTGCACCTTGTGCTCATCCTCTCCCGTCTCACCTCTGGTATACCATTAGTTTCTTTTAAGTTTGTTTCGGGAGTCAGTTTTTGGCTCTGCATTTGGCTCTAAATCGGCTACTTGCTGGTGGCTTGCCCAATAAACTTGCCTTTCAACCCCAGAGTCAGGGATTCAAAAGCAGACATGTAGTGGCCAACCCATCACAATCTTTTAAATCTATATTTATATTTAAATAATACCTTTTTTTCTTAACATTTTAAATTAAAACTTTTTTTTAATGAGTTATTAATTAGTGAATTTTAATCCAGAAGCAGTAAACACATTACATGCAGTGTACTCCTGTGTGGTCTTTAAACCGTACACAAAATTTCAGTTATAAACTTTGCTATAAACTAAACTTTGCCCTCTGAACTACGAGGAAAAGGGTCTTCCTGATTGTTGCCAGTCTGAAGTTCAAAAGACCGCATCGCTGTCCAAAGAAAAAAAAAATATTTATCTCCATTTTTCTGATTTTTACTTTACTACATCATTTGAGCATGGCAGCAGGGTGTGACAATTTCATAATGACTGGACCAACAGAAATGCTTGGAATAGAAGTTCTTAACATTAACTCACAAAAATGTGTCCTCTTCTGTGAAGTTACTATTTGTTACTACTATATGCTGCCATCAAGACAACATCTTTTTCAGGGATATCCCTGCTTGTTTCAGCAAGACAATGCCAAACCACATTCTGCACGTTACAACAGTCTGACTTCTAGACTGGCTGCCTGCAGTCCAGATGTGCCCCAACTGAAACTGTGGCACATTATGAAGCACAATACATGACATTTTGACAACTATGATTATTGTTGTCCTCAGCTGCCAAACAATTACTGAACACTGTTAAAAGGAAAGGTGAGGTAACACAGTGGTAAACATGCCCCTGTCCCAATTTTTTGGAATATGTTGCATGTATCAAAAATAGAATATGCTTACATATAGAAAAACAATTACTTTAACTGGTTGAAACATTAAATTGTCTTAAGACAAGTTTTCAATCGCATATAAAATCTTATAAGAGATGCTTTCTTTAATAAACAAAATGGTTTTACATAGAACCATGAACACTCTATGATGGTTCTATATAGCACCACAATAGGTTCTGCTATTGTTACAAACTTGACATCATAACAATAGCAGGACCCTTTTTGGAGCTATATAGAACTATTTTCAAAAAGGTTCTATACAGACACACATACAGTGCATTCTCCATCAATCTGAAGAACAATTTCACCATTCAAAGAACCCTTTAAGCATGCAAATGGTTTTTTGAGTGTTCATGGTTCTATATAGAACCATTTTCTTTATTAAAGAACCCTTGAAGGAAGAATGTAGGTCAAAAAGAATTCGCAAATCATTGCTGTTTAATTTCCTACTGTCCCAGGTTTATTGGAATTAAGTTTATACCACATCTGAATCAGTAAGCAAAATTCCAGATGAGGTACTATTTGTCCGTTTGAATTCTTGTGATATAATGTATAGGAGTCTGTTCACAGAGTAGGAGGAGCATTCACTAACCTGATGTGAGCAGAATGAGGAAAAGGAGGTGGTGAGACAGAATGGACGCCATCTTTATTGACATCTCACCAGTTTATATGCCACCTAGAGACACCGATTCAATTGCCAAAAATAATGAGTTTTCTGTCAGCTGAATCACAAAATCACAATTTATCATCTGATGCAAATATGAAACGCAAACATCCAGCACAGAAACAGTCCTATGCAAAAGCCTCAGGCAGTCATTAAAATAGTATGAAGCTTTTTTCTCAGCAGTGTTTTCGCATGGAGGAACTGTATATAACATTGAATAATATAAATGCACATAGTAAAAAAAAATAATGTTTTCTTAATATTACTATTAGTATTCTTAGGTTATAGAAGTGGGTAATAAAACTTTGGGCACATCGGTGGGCCCTGACCATTTAAGAGGTTAATTTAATTTGAAGTATTGATCCAATAAACTAGGTAGTCTCTTTTAAATTCATGCACACTAATTTGGAAATGATTAAGCCAACAAGTCGACACTTTTTGACACACAACAACAGTCGACACAAGTCGATAATGTATGATGAAGATAACAGAAAAGTTCAAACACTCTATGAATTCATGCATAAGGATATTACTTGTTTATAACATTCAATGATATTTGTTTAGTTTTATAAAGAATGTCTTAATGTAATTTTAACTGATTTCAAAAAATGAATCAAAAAGAATTTCCCAGACCCTTACCTCTACTGTACTTGTCCACTGTCAGAGTTTAGAAGTTATGTCTGAGGATGTGGTTAGCACTATTAACATACCCCCCAGTTCCTGGTTCTTTTTCTGTATCTGTATATCCTGAGTTTGGGGACTGGTCGGTAGCCAAAAGACTTTGACCTGCGTTGCTAAACACATAAGGCAAAATTATTCTCTGCTGTTTGGACAGTGTGAGAAAGTCATTTTAAGGCAGGAAGTGGTCAAAAAACCCATATGGTTACCTTGCACATACTCATCAGCTAATGTCAGGCCAAAGGGCAGTTTATGCTCTTTGGCATCACTATGTTAGAGGCAATGCAGAACAATGGCAGTCCTTGTACTGGCCACCAGAGGTCCCCATCATCAGAATTCTGCTATGGTAACTTCTGGTCATCCCCCTGCTGGCCATTCTAACCTAATTACCTGCCATTTAGCAGCACTCTCTATCCTCCTGGTGGTTTCTTTGTCTGGTGTGTATCATTATGTTTGATCAATGCCTGCTGCAGTCTTTTTTTTTCATTTTGGACTAGTCAACTGAACTGAATTTATTTTTATATCATATTTATTATTACTAATCAGAGGGGGGTCATTACTACTGACAGTGAGTTACATGTACTTATTAGTGCAAATTCAAAGGAAAAGAATCTATAACTTTTAGGGCAACACTTTCCTTGATCCCCGCTACATAACAGTGATATAACTATTCTATATACACATCATGGCAGATATCATATGCTATCATTACATATTTTGTTCAGTTATATAACCGTGTTATGTCACCATTACTGGAAATTGTTATGATCTCATAATGTTTGATGTCATCATGATTTATTTTGCATGCTAATTTATTGCCATGAACTCCAGTTAGCCATCATGTCATCTGTAATCACAGTCCCCAGTAATGGTAACAGGACAGTTATATTACTGAACATAATCGTTCATGACAACTCATGACAGAATTTGAAACATGCTGTGACATGTTTATGGCATAGTTATGTCAATGTTACATAGCAAAAATAGTGACCAGTTTCCTCTCTGTGTGGAGTTTGCCTGTTCTCCCTGTGTCTGCATAGGTTTCCTCCGGGTGCTCTGGTTTCTTCCCACAGTCCGAAGACATGCAGTCAGGCCAATTAGAGATGCTAAACTGCACCTAGGTGTGGCAAGGCTGAGGTGGAGACTAGGGGCAGCACATGTGAGTGGCAGCCTCAACAGTGTCGTTGGCGTAGTGGATAATGGAAGTGGAAGGCGGTGAAGAGGAGCACTGTTGCTGCTGTCGTTGTCAAATGGTAGCAGCAGACCTGACGTGGTGAGCTGTGAGAAGTCTCACTGCACTCAAGAGGAGGGCACAGAGCTTTCTTGTCTCACTGTTTCGGTGCACCAATAGAGAAAATGCCCACAGAGCTGCAGTTTCGTGGCCTGCCAGGCTGCCTGCATGGCTGAGAAAAGGCCCTGGCATTGCAGGGAGTCATTCAAAGGGGGTCCCATGGAAGACATGCAGCCCTGTTAAAAAGGGACTGTTTCTGTTGTTTATGTTTTTTGTCTAGTTAAAGGTATATGTATGTGTTTCGTGTATTATTGTTTCAGGATGTGGGATTGTTTGTGCATAGGGGCGTCACTGGTAGCATAAAGCCTGTGGCTAATGGTCACCTCCACCATGAGTTCAGGAATAAGTATGTGCCTGTTGCTTCTTCTTCTGCTATTTTACTCAATAAAGAGCTGATTTCAGTATTAATGGCTTAAATGGAATGGAATAAATACAATTATGGCTTCATGTGACTCACAACAACCTGGTATGAGCAGAATGAGGAAAAAGAGGTAGCAAGGGAGTCGCCACCCTGACTGACATCCTACCTGTGCTGCCTAAAGACGACACTTTAACTGAAAATAATGTACAATTTTTCTGCCAGCTGCATTATAAAATCACAATTTAGCATCCTATGCAAATATGAAACCTAAATATAAAGCCCTGTTTTAAAGGGAAAAAAAGAAACTACTGTGCAAGACTTAGGCAGTCGTAAAACAATGAAGCTCTTTATCTCACTAGTTATTGGATGTAAAAACTTTGTATATGATTTTATATTCTATGTAACCTTAAAACCTTAAAAGTCACATTGTCACATTGTCTCCCTCTACTGGGGATACTCCACATAGACTATCCCTGGCTCCACACACTTACAAGCGATCTTGCTTGTGACTGATTTACTGCCTTTATATGCCCACTGGTTTGGTTCAGTTGCTGTGAAGTCTATAGGAAGGAAGTTTTACTACCAAATTATTCTGACTTATTAACTTTCAAATCAAACAATGGAAAAGTTGTGTATGTACAAATGTACCAGTATAGATGCTGACATAAAAATCTCATTTTGAAGAATGTGAATCACTTACAAGAGGTAGAGTCTGAGCTTTATCACACCGTTTGGAGCCACGGTCAGGTGAGGCAGAAGCGTCGAAAGTAGGAGAAATATTCTAGAAGGATTGAGTTAAAGACATTGTAGTAAAAGTAAACAAGAGGGTTTAAAACATTGCTAACTGATGGAGTCTAACTTGTTTTAGCAGGCAACTATAAAAATGAGACTACAGTGAGAGTACTGGGCAGGGGCAAAGCATCAATGAATGGTGGCTCCAACGGAAGGCCCTGCAACAGACCTGCACTGTGCAAAGGTGGAGGTGTGGCAGGCAAAGAAGCTAGGCAGGAAGGACACCAACTGTATAACATATTAACATTTTGAATGACCACTGATTATTATGCAAGTGCAGATGGCATCCAGGGAAGACTAGAGGACATCCAGGAAAGACCACTGAACAGCAGGAGAGACTGCATTAGGTATAGATGATTAGTCATCCTACACACCAGCTTCCCAAGCAGAAGAACCCTAACAGACTATGAAGTAAAGTAAGAGAAAACAACCTGAAGTCTCTCCAAGAGGTTTGGAGAAAATTGGGCCTACTAGGACAGACTAAATGACTACAAATGAAATGGATAATGACAAAGAGAAATTCCTCTGGAACTGTTTTTGTGGGTGGCAGAGAGTGACATCGCTGAGAGGAAGGAAGGATGAAGTGTGGTAGGAAGCTTGACCAGTATTTTCGCACTGCTTAAGCAAGTCAGATAAAAGGGACCCAAGGCCAAGTAGACACTATAGTGCAGCTGGTCCCAACAATGCTGGGAAGTCACCAGCAAAGCAAGCAGCCCTAGAGGTAGAGTTGATTCCCTAGACAAGCATATTAGCCACCCTTCAAACACACAACCAGCATACCAGCGTAAACAACCACAATGGTGCAGCAAAATCAACTGACCATCCCATCAGAATGGCAACAGGCAATTGGGGGTTTCATTCCCAAACAGTAGAAAGAAAGGTTTTCTTCTCGGTGCTGGCTAGAGGAATGACCAGCTTTCTCAAGGACAATGGTTACATCGACAGACATTGTTAAAAGGCTGGCCTACCAGGTTTCCCAGGATGCTCTGAACACTCCTCAATGATCTGGAAGTACATAAAGCATGCCAAAATAGAAGGTTGTGACCTTCCACATGTGGTTATTCCAGACGTCCTGATCTTTTTCTAGGGTTCGGTGACAAACTCTTTTTCTGATGGTAGATGCATGTATTTTGACAAGACTATGGCAAGAGCTGCCTGTAGGACCTACCTCGAACAAAGTGTACTTAATGGCTGTTTTGACTGTAAATTATATAAAGAGAACCAATTATAATGGAGCAAATAAATTATCATCAGCTTACACCAAACATCTAAATGCACATCAAGGGATCTTATCCCTCCATGTTCATTCCGACTCTGGCATGTGTATTCTCCACTGTCCTCAGATCTGTTGCTGGAAATGCTGTAGGTTTTTCCTTCTCCTACTGATGTTGATCCCTTAAACCAGGTGTAGATCTTCACAGGTGAGTTTGCATCACTGTTGCAGGTCAGTTGCACTTGTATTCTCCACTGCCCACAGAGCTGGCATTGGTAATTGTGTAGTTCTTTTCTTTTACTACTAATGTTGTTCCTTTAAACCACTGACATTCCACAGGTGGGTTTCCATCACTGCTGCAGGTCAGAGTCACTGAACTGCTCTCCACTATTTTACCAGAAGGATGGATGGACACTGAGACGCTCTTTGGATGGTCTGCCATCACAAATGGAAAAAAGTTATTTTAAAAAAGACAACAACAACATACTAGCAATTATAACTAACCAGAATTGGCATCCAGCTTGGGGCTCCTGAGTGGTGCAACTGTCTAAGTAGCGTCTAAGCAAACTCATCAGGAGTTTGCGAGTTTGATCCTTGGTGATGCTACAGCCATCCATGGCCAGGAGTCCAAGAGAGCACAATAGGCCTCACTCTCTCTGGGTGGGTAGGGTGGCCCCCCCATCTCTCCCATCACACACTGTGATGCTAGTCAGCGCAGGTGTCTGTTAGCTGATGTAACAGAAGTGGTAGTTGATGTTTTCCTCTAAGCGCATTCAGCTCTGAAGAAAGTGGCAGTTTAAAAAGATGTGGTAGCACTTCACAGATCTTGGAGGAAGCCTTGTGATATTGCGTGACTGGGGGGTCCTAACTAGTGGGTGGAATTGGATATGACCAAAACTGGGGGAGAAAATTGGGCATTATTGCCTAGATCCACAGCACCACTAAGGTTACACGACTACATGGTCCTTCTCTGTACAGCTAAGTGAGGGATCAAGTGTAGATCTTCACAGTTGGGTTTGCATCACTGCAGAAGGTCAAAGTCGCTAAACTACCCTCTACTATTTCACCAGAGGAACAGATGCACACTGAAGTGTTTGAGAACTTCATTTGGTCATGCATTAAACTGTTCATGGTATGAAGTTTCACTATATGAAATGCTTTCAAGTGTAAACCTCTACAACTCTACATTTGTTTTAACTCTTTGAGTGCACATGATAAAATGGATATGATTTGTATAAGAATTCATCTAGTGCCTTTTTAAATGTGCAGGACTTCTTGTGCAATGTCTTACACAGCCATGAAATTAATGCTTTTTCACAATAAAAAGAATCGAAATTCCACCTGTTTTGGAAGTTCCTTGGTTTGAATATGTATT